AAAAGCCTCATATAAATTTTTATTATTTAATATAAATGTGTGTTATAATATTTTATTATATATAATAATATATATAATAAAAGAAAGTAAAGAAGGAAAAATTAGGCAAGTGAAACAAATTTTTGTTATCAGAAGGACAAAATATTCCTTTGAAATTTTTGGAATTTTTAACCTTCCGAAACTGACGGTGAATCTATTAAACTTCCTCAATTATAAATCTCTTTATTAAAAATATCAAACAAATTCAATTTTCTTTGTTACGTGTATAAATTTTGATTTTTTTTAAATTAAATTTTTAACCCTCCGGAACTGGCAGTAGATCTATTCGACCACCTCAATTATAAATCTCTCTATCAAAAATGTCAAACAATTCATTTCACATTTTTCTTTGCTACAGGATTGGATTATTCTTATCAAAATAGTATTTTTTCCTTTTTGTTACGTTATTTTGGTTCCTTGAAATTAATACTTTTTAATTCACATAAATTAAGTGGATCTTACAGATTTAGCGTCAGTAACTATTTATACAGATTTTAGCATCAGCTCCGGAGAATTAAATACACATGAGTGAAAAACGCTATATTTAGTCGATGCGGTTTTTCGTTTTCAATATTTCTTGTGAATTTATATAATTTCCAGTTCAAATTAACTGTGCATCAATTATTTAACGATCTTGAAATACAATCCTAAACCGAAACTGGAATAGTAATATCACAAATTATTGACAAGCAGTTTAATATTATTTGCTGTAAAAAAGCATCGTGAAAACTGTAAATAATTCATCGCGAAATCGCGAAAAATATTACCCCAGCGGGATTCGAACTCGGATCTTCTATCTATAATCCGGAGGATTAAAGCGTGATAAATTTTGTTAATCAATGAAACATTTTCGCGGATTACTCATAAATATCTACATATAAGGAGAGAATACCACTTACCGATCTGCGGCACGTCGTATTGTATGCTTCCCCGGATTGATCTCAGCATAAGCTGTGAAGCGATGCTCGCGCCAGCGGACGACGTCGAGGACGCCGAGGACGCTTGAGCCTGGTGTCCCGGGGATTCTCCTTGCGCGTCGATCGAACGCCGCCCGACCGTTATCTGGTTCCGTTTACTTCCGGGTAGTTTGTTTCCGCTAGTCTCATAGACGAAGGCCTTAGGTACGAAGCCGCCATTCGTAGGTAAGTTAAGCGGGGTGCCGCCCTCGGCGCGCACGAGATCAGTCTTCGTACTCGTCGCAGTGTTAAATCTCTGCTCCGCGTAGAGATCGTCGTGATTCGATTGTCTAGATTCCTGAAGGGTGGTAGCCTTCTTGCCAGCCTCGTCGCATACCAATATCGGTAGACTGAGCGGACCTCTCAGCGGATGCCGGCATCCGATGCGCCGCTTCTTCAGACGCTGATGGGCCTGCCGGCCGCCGAGCAGATGATTGCCATCGTCGTGAACATAGGGCTCCGCGACGTGAGGTTGTGTTGCAGCGTTGTGTGGCTGCGACGTTACGTACTCGGAATAGAGAACGTTCAGCACGGCGGGTGACAGGGCAAAGAACACGTTCTGGAACTCCCGCGGCTCTTTGACAATGTCGTCGATCAGCATACCCGCGGGCGACCACGAGGATATCCGCGGCTCGTCGTTGAAGACCAGCCAGTTCGACAGGTCGTCCCGGTAGGGACCATCGGAAGGATATATTTTTAGATGCAACAGGTTGTTATCTACCGAGCTCAGTTCGCTCTTCTTTCTAATGCTACTGCTTCCGTGACGATAGTCAAGTCCCTGTGTGCCTTGTACTTGTATAATCACGGGTCGATTGCCTACCGCCAAATCCAGCCCCTGTCCCACGTAGGTGAGAAGCCAGAACATGCAAACTGCCATTTTACAAATCATTAACGCTTTTTAAGTCTCTTTTTTCCTCTATTTCTTTATTCTCTTCTCTCTCTTTCTCTCTCTCTCTCTCTCCTACCCTTCTAACTTTTTCTATCTGTCTATATATATCTACGTATATATTTCTCTTTCTTCTTCTTCTTTCTCTACCACCACTTTTGACGCACCCGATTATACGGCTGGGCGTGGTGTTATAATTGACCTAAATGAACAGCAATGATGCTCTTTTCTCTTTTATTTTTTCTTGTTTGCTCTCTTTAGCTGCTTACTACTCACTGCCAGTCTAAAGGCACGTCTGTAGCAACTCTGGGTTAGGCCGACTTTTCGTTTGAACTCGCGGTAGGTACACTAGGAAGTTGAGGATGGAATGTCTGTATATTACAGTTATATGTACGTGTATATGTACGTATAAGTGTGCGTGTATTTGTGTATAAATAAAAGAGACAATGCAAATCTCTAGAACTCTCTGATATCTCTAATATCTCATAATCTACAAAACTCTCTCTAGAAATCTCTGGTATCTTTGAAAGAATATTACTAAAGTTCGATATATTTCTTGTAGCTTTACCTACTCGCAACATTAGAATATTTTTTTAAAGGTTTGCATAATGCATTCACGTACTTTGATATATATGTAGCAATACATTATGCGTTAGTAACTAGTAAAACAGAAGAAATATGTAGTGACTACTCGTAGCATGATTTTGTGTGTGTGTGTGTGTGTGTGTGTGTGTGGTGTGTGCGTGTGTGTAGTGCGTGTGTGTGTGTGTATGCAGGGTGGGCGGGAGATACGGGGCGGTCGATTGATATCGAGAGGAAGGGAAGGATAAACTTGATAAAAAATCACGAGCGGCGATATATTACGACACAACGACGATTATTGCATAGAAAACGTAACGGTGCTGCGCGTGCAACTGCAATCTGCCTAGCATGCTCCAATTGGGACTCTGGTCGCAGGAGATCCGAGAAGTTACCTGGCGTTTCTCTATTTTTCTCTTTTTCTCCTTTTCGATCTCTCTGTTTCTATCGAGGATAAGTCGCCGACTTGAGCGCACGGTGTATTACGTTTGACATTTGATTGCGTTATGCTCGCTCTTCTAATCGATACGCTTCACTTTCGGTAGTCCATGATAGTAGCCGCGACCTTGGTTTTCCCTTCGTGATAAAGCGCACACGTCCTGTACCGACCGTCCTGAAATCAGGTCGTTAATAGAGAATAATGTGCGATATCTTATAACCGTGAGTGCCAGGAACACAAAAAGATTTGTGGTGGTTTTTTTAAATTTTCTTTTATTTTTTTTTTAAATCTATTACTTTTGATTTTGTTTATTTTTCTCAGGATATATTCAACAGAAGTGCTGCGACGTGTGGAGGTGGTTATCGGAGGTGCTCATCGTGCGTGCTCATAGATGCGTATAAGGTGCTCGAGTGTGGACAACATTTAAATCAATCGATGGTGCCACTCATGTTAAACGCCCGCGATCATTTCACGTTTTCGCCAATAAAGCTATCATCTCTCCGAGAGACGACCCTCTCCCTCGGTGTTGTTTCCTCATTCGCTTACCTTTCTTTTCTTGCCTTTCTCTCTATCTTTTTCTCTCTTTCCTTGTTCCTCTCTCTGCTCTTTCAATCGGCCCACCCTCTTTTTTTCGTTTCCTCTCTGTCGTACGTCCCTAGCTTCCCTTCCTCCTCGCCTATCGAACGAACATCCCGGATATCGTACGTTTTCACAAAGCGGAAATCAAGCTATGACGCCCCGGCGGCGATTGCGATTACGGATAATCCGCGAATTAATAATCATCTATGTGTCCGCTAGTAAATAATCATACCTACCTAAATTTCGCTCTGAGAGCCGCGATCATATAATGTTGGCGAGATAAGCGTACGTGACTGCGGAGTCATTTTCACGAAGCGTGCATTACTGAACGGAGAAACTATCGCAACGCAAAATTTACAGAAAATTATCGGCGCGATTCCTTTCCAACTCTTACGTTTCTATAAATTCCAAATTTTGTACTTAAACGCTATGTCGAGCGCTAAAATCTCATTCACATACTCGAGTTTCGTCCGAGTTAATTTCGGACTCGGTGATCAAAACTCGAATATCAAAACCCCGAACCACTAAAATTATTCCAAAGCTGCGTTTCGTCGCACGCATAATGCGCATGAGATATTTTATCCTTATCGTTCGCTAAAAGTGTTAAAATGATACATCATGTGCATTATACCTGCAACGGAATACCATCCAAGTATACTTTTATCCGGAATACCTGCTATAAAAATTTATGAATCGAACTTAAACGCCCCCAAGCGATTCTGTATTTTATTACGAAACGGAGATTTTGTACGACGATTCACGATATATTTTGCGCTGAATTTGATCGCGATTTCTTTGATGAAAAGAAATCTTTCACGATTGAAGACACAATTTTTTTCTCAAATTATTCATATTCACTTCGTTATCATGTAATTTCGCAAAATATCGAGTACGCAAAATGACAGAATCGTAATTGCGTTGAAGCGAGTAACTTTAATCTAAATAGCTTTACGATACCGATTTAAGTCACGGGGAATTTTTCGAGTCTTTTTAAAATCCGCGCCATTGCGCGAAAATGATATTCAGGCCTGTTTTTATCAACGTAAATTGACTTCAATCTTGATTTAATTTACTTTTTATCTTTTTCCACTTCTAAGAATTAAAAAAGGATAAAAAATAAATTAAACCGACATTAAAATTAATGTACATTCGTAGAAATGGATATCATCCGTGTCTAATACGCACAGTTCATCTGCGGCGACGTAACTCGCACGAGCGGGATTGACACGCAGGACGCGACGATTCTCGAGTATCGGATCCCGAGTAATGGATCCGATAATCTGGTGCCGTACGACATTATGAAAGGGTGACATAATGTGGATAGCAGTGTGGTATGTAGGTCGGTCATATCAACAGGTGCCCCGAAAAACGTTCAAAAAGCAAAGGCTTGCCGTAGCAGAGAGCGGTGCGCGTTTGTCGGTGCGAGACGCGGGAGTAGGCGATACACGAGCGTGTATTGCGACAGAGGTACACAGGGTGTGTAGAACAAAGGATATATATATATATATACATATATATACATATATATATATGTATGTATATAGTGGAGGATGTCCGGGCGCGAGAGACGCCCGGAGAGTTACAGATAGAGATTACGGTTCATCGATAGGAGGTGCAGTGTTACGCGGGGCATTACGTGGGTAATACTTGCTTCTTGATATCTCGCCGCCGCGCGTCTGCCGTGCCAGCGTATTTCCTCCCGAGCTTTCGGATCTCCGATCTCCCGCCTCGGCCTCTTTTCTTCCCTCGACCCTCCGCGTCGCGTCGCGCCGTTCCGTGATGCCGCTTCTCGACCTAAACTCCCTTTCCTTTCTCGTCCTCTAACTCTTTTTTCCTCTTTCTTTCCTCTTCTCTTTTTTTCTTTCTCTCTTTCACTTCGCCCTCTCTTCGCCTCTATCTTTCCTCTTCTCTCTTCCTTTCGTTTCTTCTTCTCTGTTTATCTTCTTTCTCGCCCACAGCTTCACTTAATCTTCTGTGCGCGATCCTGTTGATATCGCGTGATATGATATCTCTCTTTGCTTTCTTCCTTGCGGCCTTCTCCCGGGGGAACGTCTGTGAATGAAAGGGGATGTCCTTCGATGCGTTCGGTCCTCTTTGCATGCGAGCGAGCTCTTCTTCTTTTTATTGCTCCGCTTTCCTCAGCGGACACCCAGGTTTCTGACTGAAGCTACCGTCCCTCTGATTGAAGCGACGTTCGTCATGCATCACGCTACCTCTTCCTCTCCTGCTTGATCGTCGCGCGCCACGGAAAGACCTATGTTCCCCTCGACAGCAGCACCCTAGTAGCACCCCGTGCGATCATACCACGTACGACGTCGTCCGGTTACCCACGGTAGGGCGCGATTCATTCACTGACATCTTCGTCGCTCACCACGATCCGCTTCCGTATGGTCGTTCATATATGGGCGTGTAATGTCGTGCGCGCGCGCGCGCGCGCGCTCGTCCGCTCGTTCGAGCTGAATGTACGTGCGTGCGTGCGTGCGTGAGAGTGCGTACGTGTACGTGTGGTGTCTGACGTTATGCTAAAGGTATCGGTCGTAATCACCGCGATGTCACCGCGAAGTCACCGGGACAAATCTTCCAGGTTGTTCTAATGCTCTTTTCTAACTAACGTAGTTATGCACCCCCTTCCGTCTTTCTTCCCACCCCTGCTTCTTTTTTTTCTCTCTCTCTCTCCCTCTCTCTTTCTCTCTTTCGTCTTTCCTTTCTCTAGGCCTGTAACACCGGTCTTTTACGATGATGTCTAGTCTGCGACTATAATCGCGCGGCGTATTTCAAAGGTTAAAGGCTGTTTCCCGCGATTGCCCGACTTCCCGTGCTGACGTCGCCGACGATCTCGACCGGCCGCGCCGGTGTTCCATTGAGCGACGAGAAACGTTCCCTCTCTCTTTCTCTTTTTTCGATTCTCTCTCTCTCTCCCTCCCTCTCTCTCTTTCTTCCTTTGCTCTCTTTCTCTCTTTCTCTCTCTCTTCCTCTCTTCACTTCGTCTCCCACGATGCGTAACTCTTTCCGCTCACCCGACCTCGGCACGTCGCGCGACAGCACCGCTTCTCGTTGATGCACACCCCCTCGCGAACGCCGTCGTTGACGCGTTTGCACTGGAGGAGATCCTCGCGAGGGTGCCGTGCGACGAGTGGCCGACTCGCCCCTTTTCTTTACGGCGCGGAAGTAGGTGCTCTCGACCGACGGGAAGAGACGACGGAATCGAATGGTGAGGAGGTTGCGGCCGTGGATGGTTGCTTTGTTGGTCGAAGGTCGAGGGATGTGGAGGATCGAAGGGTTGGGACGGTGGGTTACTTCGGTGAGTGAGCTGCCTGGCGCCCTCACCAGAACTAACTCCCACGCTGCGCGGCGAGGACCCGGCGCTTTAATACAACGCGCATTCTCCCGGCGCTACCCCTCTTCTCTGACACCGGGGTGAGCGACGACGGGGTGGCTTTCACCCCTTCTTGCCTCTCACCTGGCCTCGCCTCGCCTCGTCTCACCTCACCTCACCTCACCTCACCTCACCTCACCTCACCTCACCTCACCTCACCTCACCTCACCTCACCTCACCTCACCTCACCTCACCTCACCTCACCTCACCTCACCTCACCTCACCTCACCTCACCTCACCTCACCTCGCCATGTCTCGCCTCCACCCCGGCCGACGCGCCCATGAACGGATTAAAGCTGCCGCGAGCCCTAAGCACCCCCGGACCGTACACTCTGCGACTTCATATGACGTTTCACAACGATACGGTCAAAGGTGATGTGTCCCGTCGCATCATCAATGGCCATCATCCAATCCACGATCCACTATTCGTTTGACAATTTTGAATTCCTCACAAATATAGGACGTCGTATTGTCGTACTGTTCGTGATACTGTTCGTGACTCGTTCGAGCATATCATTCAGTCCCTACATAGAAATGAAAGATGCATGCAAAGTAGAAAAATGTCAATTCTTTCTGACGAAGAAAAGGTGATATCTGGAAATATCTAAGGGGGAATGTCTCGGTGTTCCTCAGTCAGCGAACAGTCGTTCTGCTCCTTCCCGCTGTTAAAGCGGAGATCGCAAAATCAAAAGCTAGAATGAAGGATCCCTGTTCGACCTTCGCTATCCTGTAAAATCCATCCCTACCCGTTTTAGTCAGCCGGGCTGGATGCCTCGCCGTGCGCACCTAATCGTAACCGCCCAGTTTCTCTTCTCGTGTAGCTATCACCTGATAACGCACGTTCTTTCAATCACTGTTTGGCTACGCATGTCGTAAGGTCCTACCTACGTTTGCGGGAGATCATCTCAGTCTCTTGATAATACATCAGTTGCAGCTTCGTGGGAGTGTTTGCGGATGACGTTAGTCGATCTGAAGTTCCCCCCCGAAAGACACATGTAATTGACTGCCGTTCGAATTACCTTGACTTTCATGATCCAGGGACAGTTTTCATTAATTAATCGTTCGGTTTCATATATACTCGATTCATATCTCTTTCATTTTGTTAGCTAATGGTTACACCTTCGCTGTTTACTGCCATAAATTAACGTGCGTGACGTAAAATACACAGCGTGACGACACATTTATTAGATTTGGAATTCTCGAAACTCATACAAACATTTGTAACACGTGTACTAATTATTTTAGCATATTTACTGGCGGAATTTTAATTTCTATTTAAGGAAAGGCTTGAAAAATGTTAGCTTCTTTTACTGATTATTTTATTCAATTACGATTTAATTAAATATAATATGATTCAAGAGAAAAAAAAATGAGAAGTAAGAAATTTAATTAATATAAAATTTAAATAAGGTTTGATTATATCTCTCTACACAGATTTAAAGAAAAAAACATCAGGTAAAAGAGCAAACAAAGTATATTTAATTCTCAATAGTTCGTAACAAAAAGTTGTTGATACATAAATAACTATCACTTTTTTTAGCATGTATTGATATTTATAAGAAAAGCACAAGTATAATTCTGGGACACTCCGTGTACGATAAATGCAGGAACGAAATTTTTAGCACCTACTGGACAACGTCGACCTCTTATTTACATGACTCTTTTTATTCCCGTCGCATCGATTCAAAGTTCATTTATTTATAACCAGTTTCGTAGAAAAGGTAGAAAATTAATGATGGTTCGTCGTACGTTCAAACAAATAACTATGGCGGTTTACGTTCATCGTTCGGAAATAGATTTATTTGGAAAAAACATATAATTCTTGCGGAGTGTGCTAATTAATTTTTCCACAGTGTACAATTATTGCAACGTTTTTTTTTTCCTTAAGGAGAAACATGAGATATATATATAAGGAATATCTTTCATTGTAGACGCGTGCAATAAATATAATATTATACGATACGTAAATATGATATTGTTATGCAGGTGATATAAATAAGAAAAAAAACATTATCTCTGGAGTGTATGTCATAACGAGTTTGACATATACATCATTAATAAGGTAAATTATATAGTTGTGCAACCTTTTAATTACATAGGCGTTATAGGCAAACTTATATGTTCTCGATAACTTTTAATGAGATACTCGCCTACTGAACCTCCAGAGACTCAGATGTTGCAAATAATAAGTTTCGGATTTAACCGTAATACTGCGCAGATGAGTTGTGTACATAGTTTTTTTTGTAACAAATATCTCTACGAATATTTATTATGCTCTTTGCTTTCTATTATTTTCCTCTCTATTGATAGATAAAATTTTTAAAAAAAGAGAAAAAAATTTTTGGACGTATTGAACTAAAACGAAAAATGTTTTGTTTATCTGATACGATTAATGAAAGCAATAGAACTATTTATGTAACAATAAAATAATCGGATGCATTTCTCACACATAGAGTGCCAAATAAATAATAAACACGAGTGCCAAATAGTAACATAGAATTGCTTTTGGTAATCGACTCTTCGTCGAAGATACTGTTGTAGAAAACGCGGCGAAATATTAAATTCTGCTATTGTTTAATAATTGTTTTATTATATTTTGAACAATAAGTAATAATATATTATTACTGTTAATATATATTTAAACCAAATATTTTTCAATCTTCTGTGAAGATGTGGAAGTCTATTATCGAACAAATTAAAGACACGTGAAAATTATTTGATAAAAATAAAAACATACTCGCATTAATATTTAGTTATTAAAATATATCTTATATTAATAATGATTTTCGGCAGTAGTCATGAATACATCACACTAAAGGAAAAAAATAAAGATTCTTCTTTTGGACAAAATATATACAAGACTTGACAAAGACAACAAACAATTGCACAAAATACCAAGATAACTAATAGAAAAAAGTAATATTCCAATAAAATTAAATCAATACATAATTAAACCTAAAATTCTCATTTAGCTATATGAATTACCAAAAATACAAATTGTGTGTGTGTGTGTGTGTGTGTGTGTGTGTGTGTGTGTGTGTGTGTGTGAACATCTCCATTACCACCATAAATTCCCCAATATATGACTTTTCGTGTTTTCTTACTCAAAATCTACACAACCTATGATAGGGAAAACCGAATCATATATCAACTCGACGAATTTTATACAAAAAATACAGAAAATTAGAAAGTACTTTCTGAAGACATACTAAAGAGCTTTGATGTAGAATCCCTCTTTACATAAGATCCAATCAAAGATATAATCATATGAAAAATTATCCGCTTAGTTTTTGAAAATTAATCGGCCGAAAATAATCGCTTTCATTATAGTTTCAATTTCCTCTTCTATCACATTATCTGTCCTCTTTCTTGCCTCCTTTTTCCTTCTCCCTTAATAACATATATAAAGAGAACATTTCAGAGAGACAGCTCAATATCATTGCTTCTTGCCTTGATGAAGTAAATTGTATTTATAAAATGTTAGCATTTAACGATGTACCAAGATGCGGAAATAATTTGCAAACTATGCAGCTTTTTTTAAGAAAATACTCGGAAGTTTTAAAAGTATAATTAATAATCTTTAATACTTTGTAATAATATCCTATATTTATAGTTATTCTAACATTTTTTTCTACTCTTTACTAATATACTTTTCTCATTAACAGCATTTAAAAAATAAAATATTAGTCGATATTTAACAGAAAAATATGTATTTTTATTAACAGAGAAATTTGTATTTTTAACAAATAAATTCTGAATTACATTCAGTAATTTTCTCTCTTCAATATATTTTAACTGATATATTAACTTGGTAACATAATTACAATAATTTTAAAACTTGAACAATCACACGTTAGCAAGCGTATTCAAGGAAATGTATTGCCGACTAAAATCTATGACTGAAATGAAACTGTTGTATCAAAATTTTACGTCAACTCAGGCTTTTCGTTGTTGCTGATTGCGTATTCGTGATGCACTCAAGCATACTCGGGAGTATACATGGCTACACATCAATAGGAGTCGTAAACTTTGCTTGAAAACGATGATAGAAACGTAGATTGTGTTCGTTGGCCCGATAGCCTCAGTATTGATATTTTAAAATTCAACATAAAATGCCTGTATTCTGTCAGAATACGCTTCTCTGATTTTCAATAATACCATGTTATTGTACATTGAAATATCAGATAATCTAAAAATAACGTGTTATCAATTATTATCGAATCTTCCTAAATTCTTTTAATAACTTTAGATAGATATGTTATTTTGATATAATATAATACTAAATAATCGTAAAAAGGAAAAAAGTTATTAAACTTTTATTGAATAAGAATAGAATTCTAAAAAGGTGTACACTAAAATTTAATTAATTTGACCCAATTTAATAAATCTTGTAAAACTATTACGAGTTGTAGGCGATTATCGATCAGGAAACATTTATATATTTTAGATTGCTGTTCCCTCAATTTAGATTAAATGTCAGTTGCGAGAAATTTACGAAAATTATCGTTGTCGATAATTAAATCAATAATATCTCTTTGCGAAAGTGCCGTTAATGCATGTATTTATCGATATTTACCGATGTGCTTTTGCATGTAATGTCGACGTAAATAACACATAATAATTTTAGCTTGTCGCGTCAATTATAGAATCGACGTGGCAACGCGCGCGGGACATATTTATTTTCAGGGGATGAAACGAATAAAGTTGCAAACAGATTGATACGGTTTAAAAAAAGAATTTCCAATCTACTTCCGACGAAGGAGCAAAAGAGGTTCAGAGGTTCTGTAATTCTTTACGAACAGCTCGGCAATCCCGCGGCTGTACTAACTCATGATTACTAATCCCGCAATGAATACCTAACACAGTTAATGTAAATCGATGACATGGATTTTCGCTACTGAATCCGTTGTATTTATTACAATTTACGCAGGGATCTTGACGTCACGAAGGGACCACGTAGCGTAATTCTAAAATGC